ATTTGGTTAAAAAGTAACTATTTATGAATAATGAGAAAGGCTTACTTGATTTCCAAAAACTCCAACAGCACAAGCTCTAGACACTCCTTCAGAACTATACCATGTTGCTGCTAATTTTGGAGGAATACCAAGAATGAAAATTTGAGATACTGCAACTACTGTCTGCCCAACCATTGTTACAACAAATCTATCTGGAGATACACTAGCACATTTTATCCAGGAACCTACATTTATAAAAAAAAAATAAAAAATTAAAATTATATTAAAATGAATTTAATAATTTTGAAGTTTTTTCCAAAATCAAAATTAATGCTTTTTACACTTACAATTAAAAAGCGAACCTGTTACCGGCATGTATCCTATAAAAAAATCGTCCCACAAACATTTTTGAACTTTATGAAGTTCTTCAGGTGGAAATGGAATACTTGAGAAAAAATCAAACAGGAGATTTCAAATCCAAAAGTTCACCAAATTCCGCTCTAATGAACATGCGTCATTGTGCGCACATGTCAATTACTACAGATACTTGTCTAGGAGAACACTTCTTGATCTGACGCTCTGTCTAAGAGAACACTTCTCCTAGACAGAGCATCAGAGTAGAATTCGGCAAACTTTTCGATTGAAATCTCCTGTTCGATTTTTTCTCAAGTATTCCATTTCCACCTGAAGAAGAACTTCGTAAAGTTCGAAAACATTTGTGGGATGATTTTTTATAGAATACATGCCAGTAACAGGTTTGATTTTTAATTGTAAGTGTAGTATACAGCTGTCCCTTGATAGTCCAACGTTTTGTAATCCGACGTGCTCAGTAGTCTGACGCACCTCCCGTCAAGGTACCCGTCCCCGTTACGTGTTTGCTTGCACAGAAGCATGTTGCAACATGAATCTCCCCACCCAATTCTTACACTATGACACATTTCGTGTGTTTTCTGTGAACAGTTCTGTTCGAACAGTTGGAGCAGGGAATATTGTAGGCTACTGCTAGCAAAACAATGCCAAATATGTAATCACTTTCGGTAATCCGGACACTTTTGGTAATCCGACACCCCTTTGGTCCCATACCTGTCGGATTATCAAGGGACAGCTGTACTTCTGGTATCAGTAAAGGGTTGAACATTAATGCTTTTTATGGAGTAATAGCTAGAGTGCTAAAGTTCTTAAAGTGTCTCAAAGATCAGAAAAATGTGTGTTTTTCCTTCTCCTCTATAGTAATAAAAACTGTATTCCTGACAGACATTATGTTTTTTGCTTTATTGTTTTATTTCCTGATAAGAGCCTCTAAATTGTTGCTGAAAACCTTAGAACGTTACAGTTATTTGCTGGAAATCTCATAGGTGTTAGTTTCACTGATGTACTGTTCTAGTTTTACTGTGTGCTGTTATTTATAAACATTGACAGTAATAAAATGTTAAGAATTTTTTTTTTTAAGTCACTAAGCAGATTTTTTTCCCTGTTTTTCACATTTTGCAGTTAAAATATTTCTATAAATATGAAGTAATTATTAGCTAACAAAACTGTGCTTTTCATTTTTATTCATATTAATATACAACAGACATTAACTATGTTTGTGAAATAAACTTAATGAACTACCTGATTCTCTGTTGTAAGTCATCCTTCATTGAAGAAATGGAAATAAAACATGGTATATCTATTTAACTTCATAATTTATGATATATCAAATTTCCATGTAATAATCCAGCATTAATTCTAATAAGTTTGTATTGATAATTACATATTTTTAACAGTATGTTCCCCACTCTGGTTTGGTCATCTCTTCAGCATTGGAAGCCAAATCAAGTACCAATAAATTGATAAGAATGGTTTCAGTTTCACTCAAAACGTATCATTTTACAAAACTAATGTAATCCAATTATATCCATCTGTGCTTCAACACAGTAATGATTGCAAATACTACTGCTTCAAAAATCCTACACAATTCAGCAAAAATATTTGATATATAGAAAGTCCTCCTTTTAACAACTGAGCATAATTATTTCCAGTTTAATGGTCAATATTTCTTGCAAAAGCAGGATGTCTGAAGGGCTCACTTCTTTATGCTATTTTGGATGAATTGATTATGAGAAACATCGAATTTAAAAGGTTTCTCTTCCTCATTTGTGATACATTATCCCATTTTATATCTTAGATACATAAATGATACCTTAATTGCTTGGGAAAGTTTCTTTGAAGTGTTGTTAACTTTTCTAAAAGGGCACGACACTCTAAAAAGTGTCTTGCCCTTTTAGAGAAGTCTGAAATATGTACGAACCCATTATAGTAAATGCAAATGGGATCAAGGATTTCTTTTTTTATATAGGTGTCATAACTAGAGAAGAATTTTACACCACTGTGGGCTAAAGCTTCAACTTAAGTAATGTTTAAATTGCAGAATTTCCAGAAGTTTGAACCATTTTCCTCTGGTAATATATATCATTACTAGAGTCCTGCAACAGTCAGAATCTTGAGCTCCCTGGCACGCAAATAACACTTTTGTAAAACTTAATGGCCTGTATGAATAAAAACATAGGAAATGATAATAAGCATATGGTAAAGTAAAAGCATTTCCTCTCTTTGGTATGAATAATGATTACCTTCTACTTCTGAGCAAATGCTTTTGGTAAATGAGTAAAAATGTTCTCAACATGAAGGTTATGACACATTTAATTAATTTCATCTGTAGTGCTACACGACTATGTTATATATTGTTCTTTTGTATGCTTCTATGTTATTCTAGTATATAAGCAGGTTTGTTAATTTTGTATCGCTCTACTTTTTGTATAATATTTCACGTTGTCTTCCATCCTGTTTCCTGGTATCACCTTTTCTTTGTTAGACCGATTTGAATCTGTTGATTGGTTGAAAGGGGAGTCACATGCTAAAATGACATTCCCGGATGGCGGGGGATATAAATTCAATTGCTTCACATGTTTGTGGACCTTTTCTTCCTGGCTTCCGAGCTCCTGTCTAAACATAGAAAGAAAAAGGTGTAATCTGGTGGACCTTGGCGAGAATGGCTGAAGAAGGAACAGTTTGATCGAGGCGAAGGAATCCAAATCCATCTTTAAAAATATCATCATATACAAATATAGGACATGTGGATCATGCTCAAGAGTTGCTAAAGGACTATAGTAAGACTATTGTTTATTAGTTATAGATTTTTGTAGACATGTGGGTGTTCAAGTTTTGATCAACAGATTACTGTGTGTTGAACGGGACAATCGTCTACAAAAGAATTAACCGAGAAGAAATGCAACAGCATGCATTTGTCATCCTGTATATAAATGTAATTATTTAAAAATGGGAATTCACCTTAATACTTGAATCAGCATTGTTCTCTTTGTTAAGTAATCATACTAATATACATGTACTATTGTGACCAATAGACTACAGCTGATATCTTTGACTTATGGCTGTGTGTTTTTAATAAACCTGACTTTGTTGTGTTTATCTAAAATTTGTGAAGTTGTGGTGAGGTCCCCCCCAATGTATATACGTAGATTTTATTAAGTAAGTTGTTAAATTATATGTCCTCCCTTTGTCTATCTGACTAATGCTTGTCGCCTTTCCCTTTTCAACTCTTAACCACTAAAGGTTTGTTTCTGGCTAGTTTTGGGCTGGAAGGGGCATCAACCAACATCACAGCATAGGGGGACGATCTTTGTTCATTCTTGGTGAATCAAGTGNACATGTTGTACGAGTCACTTAGATTTTACAAATATGTGAGCCGTTCACAGCCCGGCACACGTATTTGTAAAATCTAAGTGACTCGTACAACATGTAATTCAGATAAAACGGAAAAATCAATGATCTTATAGGGGGATCGACTGTATATGACCATCTTAAATTAGTAGTGTCTTGCCCCTGTACATCATATTTTTCCTGTTAGCAACAAGTGTCATGTCAATCATCTAATTCCTTTCAGGGAAAATTTTGAATTGAAATAATATGATTCCAGTTGGCATTGGAAAGCTTTATATAGTAAATCAGGGCTCATGCCATCTAAGCTTTCCATATCTTGTCTCATCTTTCATCTAACTAACTCCATTCTCAAGATTATGGTAGGACAGGCAGACAACAGTGGTAATTTATAGGTCTGGTTTTTTAAATTGCAGCCCAATATAATTATGTATGCACCTATACAGAAATATGCCTATCATTTATATATCACATCATTCTGAGAAACTACAATTCTTAAATGCTGGTTACTAGCCTAACTAGATGATTTATGATTATTTGATTATCATCATTGTTGCACAGTAATTAGTTGTCAATAAAATGAAACAACAATAAACCAAAAATTAACTAGTTTACATTTACTATATTCATAAACAAAATTACAATGTAAAGATCTGTTTACACTTGGCAAAGTAAAAATAAAATGAATACATACACACACTTGAAAGAATAAATTTAGAGATTTATTACTTTAGCAAATTTAAACTTAAGTTTAAATTTGGATAATTGGTTAACAATTTATGCAGATATTTGATATATGCAATGCAATAAAATATAAATGTTAATGTTTCTGTATCCTTAAAAGTTAACAATTGTTAAAATATCTAAATTTTATCAAATTTTTTTCAAAGCAAATTTTCTATTATTTAAGAATTTACTTTGAAAAAATTCAAGATAAATTAAAAAGAAAAAAAAACTTATCACCAAGTATTACATCTCATAAAATACTACCTTATTGGAAAACTCAGATAGGACACTAAAAATCCAACAGGTCCTGAATATTTTCAAACCTCTTGGCTAATTATCAGAGATTCCAAGTTAACAATCATTAAAAAAATTTTTGAAACTACAAAATTTCAAAATTTAAAAAATGTTCCCTATAACAATATCTAATAATGATGGTCTAGGAGGCTCAAAGTACTCAGCACAGTTTTTTAGTGTTCTAGCTGAGTTCTCCAATAAATTGGTATTTTTTTTTATGAGATGTTAATATTTTGAATATAATTTTTAAAATATTGAACAATTTGTGTTTATTTCTTACTTACCATAAGTAATAAGAAGAAGAGTATAATTTATATTTTTTATTAAATTTAATATTGATTTCCAGTAATTTATCCTTTCTACAGAAGCTAAAATAGCTGCCTGAGCTCTGCTTGGAGGTTTTGGTGGTTTATCTTTAAATGCTATAAAAAATTTAAATAACTAAATATTCATATTCAAAGAAGTATATTATAGAATTTATCCCAAAATAAAAGATTTTGGATTAAAATTATTTTAATAGTTACATTTAATCCAGAATAAGAAATAAAATAAAAAGAACAGTTAGATAGATATTTTACCTAGTGCTATTACTACCATGTATTTTAATCAATTGAACTGGACTTGGGGATGTATAGTGATAATCCTCATCATCACATTTGAAGTAATTGAGTTTGAATGTTTGAAATTATCAAAATTGTATGAATATTTTTTGTGTTAATATTTTTGCTCTCCAAACATTGCATTTAGTTGTGGCTGTCATCTCTTCATTTTGGGATTTTTCATTTTAAGATTTTTTCAAACATTCAAATTCAATTACCTCAAACTTAATTCTCAGGGTTAGCACTATTAGGCTGTGTACACACTAGGCATTTTTAAACACGCATTTATTAAAACACATGTTAGCTCGGCGTTCGACGAGCGTTTGTGGAGTGTACGCACTGGCTCAGTTTGGAAATGGACGTGAAAGTAATTGATTGTGTGTGCCTCCTCCATCATCGCTATAAAAGACGATGGCAGAGGCAAAGAGAATTTTGGGTGCACCCAATATTACGAGATAGACTGACACATGGAATGTTTGCGACGTTGTATCCAAAACTAAGACAAAATAAACTCAAGTTTTTTAATTCTTTTAAAATATCTATAAAATCCTTTGACGATGGTTGGTCTCTTTTAGATTTCATCAATAAATAGATCAGTATCGAAATGATCGTTCTCCATTTCGGCCAACGTACGTCCACTCTACCCGAAAGCACGCAATCACATGTACAGTAACATGGCAGCTCATATATCTCAAAGTGCTCAGCTAACACCCGCGTTTTAAGAAAAATCTATAAATGCGTGTTTGAGTGTGTACGCCTATGTAGAACTCTTGGTTCTTTAAAACACGCGTTTAAAAATGCCTAGTGTGTACGCAGCCTTAGGGGCTCCAATTATTGATTAAACAGTTTGAATGACAAATTATTTAATGATTAAAAATGATTACTACTATTATTTGATGATTCAGCTAAAACTGATTACATACATTCAAAGTGAGTATTGAAAATATTGAATAAATTCATAAAACATCTGATAAATATTTTATATTTAATCAGATATTTTAGAAGCTTATCCAATATGAAATATGGAAATTTTTTAAAAATAATTTAACAATTCAAATAAAATGCTGTAGTATTAATAAATTTGGAATTGTAATCAATATAATAAAACTGTTTGATAAAAATGAATTATAATTCATAAAAGCTTATAAATATTATAAAGTGAATTAGTAAATTATTATATAAATTTTAATAATGTAATTGAATTTTCTTGCCTTTGGTTTCAATGAAATTAGAGAGAGAAAATATCTTATGTACTTTTCTAGTAACTTAAACTTTAATATAACTAAAGTTTTCAGCTTGATTAATAAGCTTTCAAGTTTTTGAACAGATTCTGTTTGGAATAATTCTGTTGTGTCTCTAGTTACTGTCTAGTTCCAGCTTATACCAGTATCATTTCAATGAAACTAAGAGCTCCAGGAATTGATCAACTCTCACAGAAATAAAAAAAATGGAAAAATTCAATGGAATGGAAATGGGAATGGAAAAAAATGGAAAAACTCAATGGAATGGAAATGGAAGAACTAAAAAAATGGAAAAAATGGAAGAACTAAAAAAATGGAAAAAGAATTAGTCTCTTGAAAATAAATTCTAATTTTCAAGAAAAATACCTGCAAATTAATTTTGTCTTTTCTATTGAGCAAACTTGAAGAAACAAGGATAAAAAAAAACATTAATCAATAGACCAACCATATATCACAAGTTAATGTTAAAAAAAATTTACACTCTAAAAAACTTGAAACTAATCAATTTTTTTTATACATTAATTAATTTCAAGTTCTTGTTTTTTTTTTCTTCAAAATTTTTATTTAAATAGCCATTCAAATGTAAAAGAAATAATAGAAATTAGAATAAAAAAAGTAAAACACAGATAGCAGTGTTAACACTGAACTATTAATGTCACATTCATTGTCTCTTTACTTTCTTTTATGTGATATTTGGTGTGAGGTTCAAGCTGTATTGTTTTAGAAATTAGAAAAATGACAATGATAAAATACAAAAATAATAAAGGTATTTTTTTATTTCTATTTGTTAGCTGTTAATTCTTATATATGACAAAAAACATTTTAGTTACAATTTCTTGTTCCTCAATGAATTTCTATTCTTATTCATTTCTTTCTCTGAAAAATTTGCTGACATTATTACATATAAAAAAAAATTAAGTCTTAGATCTAATCTTAACAGTTTTGTCCCCTCATAATTTAAAAGATGAAATAAATATTTCAAATTCTTTCAAGAGTTGAAGTTATTATTGGTTAAGATATATTTGAAATACAATGCAAAAAATACATCCTATTTCAGATAACAACATTTATCTAACTTAATATCTGTTACATTTTCTCATTGTAACAAATGTAAAATCTATACTTACCAAAAATAATTATCAAAAATAATAAACTTGTAAATATAGCTACTCCAAAAAATAAAAATGTTAAATCTTTTCCAATGGTATCTTTATCAGCATTTCTTACAAGTAAAGGTGGAAGAAGAAATCCAAGTGCAATTCCAAACTATAGGATAATAAATATATTTATAATTAAAGAAAGAATTACACAATTATAAAATATAGTGCATTAAGAACTAATATAATCCTGTTATTAAAATGTATTAAAGATAATTACACAGATAAAATTTCATATTTGATGAATTCTTGATACTATATTTAAAATTATGCTAACTGATATTTCAAACTAAAATAAAAATATCATTATTGGAATTTTTTATTATTGTTATTTCCTGTACTTAAATTTTTTTAAGCAACCTGTAGTAACTCCCTACAGCCACATGCATGTGGTAGCTGTAGGGTTGGTCAAAACAATAAAAAAAATTATGGATGAATGATTACTTAGCGTAAAGGCATGTGGTGAAATAACAAAAGTTTATTTGCAATGCTAAATACACTCAATACAGTCTATACATATACAACACAAATTTCAGTTCCATTATAAATTTCATTTTTGTTCACATATTCTCCTATCCTTCCTCCACTGCACGAGGCTCCTTCAATACTTGACAAGAATACAAAATAACAACACAAAGAAACTTAAGCAAATTGAAAAATAAAAAAAATATACAAATAAAAAAAATCATAAGTTTTGACGACCCCCCCAGTTAGTCCTTTATTCCCTTTTGTCACTCCTTTCTTTTTTCATTCATATTCCACTTGAATGAAGATGGATTCTTAAACGGCATTGTTCTTTTCTGATTTTTAGTATGGTTGTCTTTCCTGACCACTACTTCCTTTGATGTTGACTGTTGCTCGCACTTGGTTGTTTTATGATGACCTCTGTTGCATTGATGTGCTCTTGCTAACTGCCGCATCATCCAATAGCCAAAAAAAATTAAACCCCGAAAACCGAAAATGTGCCTCTCATGTATCTCTCACATAGACGCACACCGTATTTATATCCCCCTCCAGAAGAAACTATGCTGTCCCACATGACCAACCCTTTGGCCAATCCCCATACCTTATGCCCTGTCAGCTGAGAACCAGTGGTACAGAGAAAGGAAATGGAGGGGGACATGAATAATAAAGGGAGACGATACAACACAAACAAAATAATAAACACAAAAAAGTTAATGACAAATAAAAAAATAGCTGCAAAGCACTACAGACCCTAGCCTTCATGATGTGGGGTTAACTATTCCCCCTCTGAAAGCCGAAAAACTCACATTGATGTCCAAGAACTGGGATTTTAGGTCCCCAAACTCCACCAGGTCAGTGAGCTTACAACCATGATCTGAGTAAAACAAGATGTTTTATGGTATAATTGTCACATTGTATCTTAAAGTTATCTGAAATGACATTAGATATAGTGATAATTTATCAGTTTTCAGGATACACAAATAGGAATATAACAATATCAATTATAATGTGGATTGAATGCAAAGAAAATAAATAAGAAAGAATTAAAGGCAAGATATGAATGTGTGTTGTTGCTGGTTTGAATAAAAAAGTTGCAATGGCAGATGATTATCATTCACAAAACTTTTTTGTGTTTTCTAAACATGTTCTTAGTGACTTTAGAAAAAGCTGTTTGATGTACTATAAGTTCAACTTAATAACAACATTTAATGTATCCCATCATAATCCACACTCTTTTCAAAACATCTTTCAAGCAAAGATAACCCATGGTTAAGCCATATGAAAATGCAATAGTTGCAACAGTAGTTAAAAGCAAAAAACAAAATACTTTCCCTTCAAACAAGATATTCTTCAACACAGAATACTTGAATTTCATTTGACTTATATATAACATTTGCTAATCTTAACTTTTCACTAATCCAAACATCTCTTTTACAATCTGTAATTATTGTATACGTATTTTAATTTTAGTTTTAAAACTAAGGTCTATTTTAAAGTATTTTTAATCTAAGACACGCAACTTTATGTTACATCTAATATTTGGTTAAAAAGTAACTATTTATGAATAATGAGAAAGGCTTACTTGATTTCCAAAAACTCCAACAGCACAAGCTCTAGACACTCCTTCAGAACTATACCATGTTGCTGCTAATTTTGGAGGAATACCAAGAATGAAAATTTGAGATACTGCAACTACTGTCTGCCCAACCATTGTTACAACAAATCTATCTGGAGATACACTAGCACATTTTATCCAGGAACCTACATTTATAAAAAAAAAATAAAAAATTAAAATTATATTAAAATGAATTTAATAATTTTGAAGTTTTTTCCAAAATCAAAATTAATGCTTTTTACACTTACAATTAAAAAGCGAACCTGTTACCGGCATGTATCCTATAAAAAAATCGTCCCACAAACATTTTTGAACTTTATGAAGTTCTTCAGGTGGAAATGGAATACTTGAGAAAAAATCAAACAGGAGATTTCAAATCCAAAAGTTCACCAAATTCCGCTCTAATGAACATGCGTCATTGTGCGCACATGTCAATTACTACAGATACTTGTCTAGGAGAACACTTCTTGATCTGACGCTCTGTCTAAGAGAACACTTCTCCTAGACAGAGCATCAGAGTAGAATTCGGCAAACTTTTCGATTGAAATCTCCTGTTCGATTTTTTCTCAAGTATTCCATTTCCACCTGAAGAAGAACTTCGTAAAGTTCGAAAACATTTGTGGGATGATTTTTTATAGAATACATGCCAGTAACAGGTTTGATTTTTAATTGTAAGTGTAGTATACAGCTGTCCCTTGATAGTCCAACGTTTTGTAATCCGACGTGCTCAGTAGTCTGACGCACCTCCCGTCAAGGTACCCGTCCCCGTTACGTGTTTGCTTGCACAGAAGCATGTTGCAACATGAATCTCCCCACCCAATTCTTACACTATGACACATTTCGTGTGTTTTCTGTGAACAGTTCTGTTCGAACAGTTGGAGCAGGGAATATTGTAGGCTACTGCTAGCAAAACAATGCCAAATATGTAATCACTTTCGGTAATCCGGACACTTTTGGTAATCCGACACCCCTTTGGTCCCATACCTGTCGGATTATCAAGGGACAGCTGTACTTCTGGTATCAGTAAAGGGTTGAACATTAATGCTTTTTATGGAGTAATAGCTAGAGTGCTAAAGTTCTTAAAGTGTCTCAAAGATCAGAAAAATGTGTGTTTTTCCTTCTCCTCTATAGTAATAAAAACTGTATTCCTGACAGACATTATGTTTTTTGCTTTATTGTTTTATTTCCTGATAAGAGCCTCTAAATTGTTGCTGAAAACCTTAGAACGTTACAGTTATTTGCTGGAAATCTCATAGGTGTTAGTTTCACTGATGTACTGTTCTAGTTTTACTGTGTGCTGTTATTTATAAACATTGACAGTAATAAAATGTTAAGAATTTTTTTTTTTAAGTCACTAAGCAGATTTTTTTCCCTGTTTTTCACATTTTGCAGTTAAAATATTTCTATAAATATGAAGTAATTATTAGCTAACAAAACTGTGCTTTTCATTTTTATTCATATTAATATACAACAGACATTAACTATGTTTGTGAAATAAACTTAATGAACTACCTGATTCTCTGTTGTAAGTCATCCTTCATTGAAGAAATGGAAATAAAACATGGTATATCTATTTAACTTCATAATTTATGATATATCAAATTTCCATGTAATAATCCAGCATTAATTCTAATAAGTTTGTATTGATAATTACACATTTTTAACAGTATGTTCCCCACTCTGGTTTGGTCATCTCTTCAGCATTGGAAGCCAAATCAAGTACCAATAAATTGATAAGAATGGTTTCAGTTTCACTCAAAACGTATCATTTTACAAAACTAATGTAATCCAATTATATCCATCTGTGCTTCAACACAGTAATGATTGCAAATACTACTGCTTCAAAAATCCTACACAATTCAGCAAAAATATTTGATATATAGAAAGTCCTCCTTTTAACAACTGAGCATAATTATTTCCAGTTTAATGGTCAATATTTCTTGCAAAAGCAGGATGTCTGAAGGGCTCACTTCTTTATGCTATTTTGGATGAATTGATTATGAGAAACATCGAATTTAAAAGGTTTCTCTTCCTCATTTGTGATACATTATCCCATTTTATATCTTAGATACATAAATGATACCTTAATTGCTTGGGAAAGTTTCTTTGAAGTGTTGTTAACTTTTCTAAAAGGGCACGACACTCTAAAAAGTGTCTTGCCCTTTTAGAGAAGTCTGAAATATGTACGAACCCATTATAGTAAATGCAAATGGGATCAAGGATTTCTTTTTTTATATAGGTGTCATAACTAGAGAAGAATTTTACACCACTGTGGGCTAAAGCTTCAACTTAAGTAATGTTTAAATTGCAGAATTTCCAGAAGTTTGAACCATTTTCCTCTGGTAATATATATCATTACTAGAGTCCTGCAACAGTCAGAATCTTGAGCTCCCTGGCACGCAAATAACACTTTTGTAAAACTTAATGGCCTGTATGAATAAAAACATAGGAAATGATAATAAGCATATGGTAAAGTAAAAGCATTTCCTCTCTTTGGTATGAATAATGATTACCTTCTACTTCTGAGCAAATGCTTTTGGTAAATGAGTAAAAATGTTCTCAACATGAAGGTTATGACACATTTAATTAATTTCATCTGTAGTGCTACACGACTATGTTATATATTGTTCTTTTGTATGCTTCTATGTTATTCTAGTATATAAGCAGGTTTGTTAATTTTGTATCGCTCTACTTTTTGTATAATATTTCACGTTGTCTTCCATCCTGTTTCCTGGTATCACCTTTTCTTTGTTAGACCGATTTGAATCTGTTGATTGGTTGAAAGGGGAGTCACATGCTAAAATGACATTCCCGGATGGCGGGGGATATAAATTCAATTGCTTCACATGTTTGTGGACCTTTTCTTCCTGGCTTCCGAGCTCCTGTCTAAACATAGAAAGAAAAAGGTGTAATCTGGTGGACCTTGGCGAGAATGGCTGAAGAAGGAACAGTTTGATCGAGGCGAAGGAATCCAAATCCATCTTTAAAAATATCATCATATACAAATATAGGACATGTGGATCATGCTCAAGAGTTGCTAAAGGACTATAGTAAGACTATTGTTTATTAGTTATAGATTTTTGTAGACATGTGGGTGTTCAAGTTTTGATCAACAGATTACTGTGTGTTGAACGGGACAATCGTCTACAAAAGAATTAACCGAGAAGAAATGCAACAGCATGCATTTGTCATCCTGTATATAAATGTAATTATTTAAAAATGGGAATTCACCTTAATACTTGGATCAGCATTGTTCTCTTTGTTAAGTAATCATACTAATATACATGTACTATTGTGACCAATAGACTACAGCTGATATCTTTGACTTATGGCTGTGTGTTTTTAATAAACCTGACTTTGTTGTGTTTATCTAAAATTTGTGAAGTTGTGGTGAGGTCCCCCCCAATGTATATACGTAGATTTTATTAAGTAAGTTGTTAAATTATATGTCCTCCCTTTGTCTATCTGACTAATGCTTGTCGCCTTTCCCTTTTCAACTCTTAACCACTAAAGGTTTGTTTCTGGCTAGTTTTGGGCTGGAAGGGGCATCAACCAACATCACAGCATAGGGGGACGATCTTTGTTCATTCTTGGTGAATCAAGTGAGGAGGGAAGCATGTGGTGAGAGAGGGAGAAGGGTTGTGAGAGTAAAGATCTACATAGTGAATACGTGGGATAATAGTGCTTAGATTTGATGACTTGAGAAGAGAGGACTATGGAAATATAAGAATCATATGGAAATTGTTTAATAATTAATTATAATCAGATTCACATTCAAATACTTAAAATAGTTATGTTAGGGCAATCACCACAATGACTCCTGAATCTAAAAATATAACCACAGAAGCAAAACACAGAAGTGTCTGGTAAAAATAGAATATATAAAGTCAACACACCTTAATACTAATACTTAATACTGAAAGCTCATTTATTCTGCCGAACAAACGAGCTCTCTCAGTATTAATAAGGTGTGTTGACTTTATAGAGTTAAAGAATCTGAGTGATAATAAGAGTGTAAAAATAGAATCAAATAACAGAAAACAATTGGGCTGATCTTCTATATCAAAAATAACACAGTACCAAAATTAGTCATACAAATATTCAAGAAAATTACACAAGACATACACAAAACACGAACAACACAAACAGTAGAATATACTGAAACATCTGAACAAAAATTCAGAGTAAAGTACAAAAATGTTTAAATATGAAAACTATTCACTAAAGAAACAATTATTCTACAGACAAATATATGCTAAAAACAAGCAATTATTAATTGTGACATTAAAAATTGCAGCCCAGCATCATGACAATAAATTTTTTTGACATTAACATAGAATTTAAAGGGCAGTTAGTCACCAGTATATATATTAAACCAACACATACCTGGTCTTTAGTCTGTCTCAATTGAATGTTCCCTACTGGTACAAACTTGTAGAATTTCAGACTCTCATTAGAAGAGCTTATCTATATTGTAGCAGTGTCATAGACAAACAAAAAGAGATCAACAAAATTATACAAGTGACCAAAACTCTAGAGTACAAAGCTAGCACAGTAGCAGGAATGGTTAGAAGCTCTAAAGAGGGACCAAAGACCCAGAACAACAATCTCAACAAAATTGCAAAGTTCACTTTCTTTATAAAGGGCATTACGAAAGAATTTGATGACTGCAGAGTCAAATTATTGTGAAGAGCTCTGAACCTGTATAGAATTTTAAAAAATGACAAGGATAATATAAGAAAAGAAGAAAATGTAGGTGTGTGTAGGATACCATACAAAAACATACAATTAAGAATTATATTGGGGTTACCACAAGAAGTTTGGGAGTTAGGCTTAAAGAGCATAAGTATAGTATTAAAAAGAGGTCCAACAATACTACTTTCTCAGATGACACAGATGGAAGGATTGGTGGTAAAATGAGATGAAACAGGGAATATAAATAATTAAATCTCTACACTCTCCAACATTTTCAATCATTTCAGCGTTCGTTGCTATTTATAGGAGCAAGTTGGAAGATTCATGTATTAATTAATGCAAGAGATGCAGACAGTTTACCATCTGCCTTGAAGTACATGGTTAAAAATAAGTTTTTTAGAAGCTTTAATTTACCTCACTAATATTTTATTATTGTATTTCATGTTATACTTTTATTTTTACATTTCTGTTAGATTGATGTTACTTGTTATATTAATGTATTGCATTTTTGATAGTTTTTTTATTTTTTTGGCAAGTATATTTTTATGTTAAATTTTTTTTTTATTTTAAATTTTCAATGTTCTATTTTGTAACACTTCGTAAAACTTGAGGATGGCATATGAAAATGTTAGTTTGTATAGAAAAATGATCTAAAAGCAAGTTAAGGTAATTTATGAAAATTTTGTGTTAAAATGTATAAATTTATTCATCACAAATGCTTGTTTTTTGAAGAATAAATACATCTTTTTATCTAATTATCTCTTCTACTGTTATCACATCAAATACACTACTCAAATTCTAGAACAATTAGAAGTTAACAGACCTCACATACTATACTACTGCATTCCTTTATGTAAATATTTTTATTACTATTCTAGTTGTTATCATATCAGTAATTAACAAAACTTACCAACACATGTTCCAAATGAACCAAGTAAAATTACAAAACGTAATCCTTTTTTATCTAATAACCAAGAAGCAGGAAATATTAATGGAATGTAAGTAACCATATAAATCACTGAAGTCCAATTTACACTTTCACCATCTACATCATAATACTTGCAAATAATGTTATTGATAATAGAGTATTCTATCCATTGGAAGGCATTAGACATTGAATAAAAACAAAACAAAATCAACATTACATGACGAATTGGATACAGTTGTGTATCATCTTGCACAATCCTTGGTATAGCAGAAGACATTTCACTTGATGTTGTTTCATCTAATGAATTTCTTAAAACGGGTTTTTGAGATCCATTTGGTATAACATCATCCGAAACTATTTCACCATTTATTCTTAATTTATCCATCTATAAAACAAATTGAATTTTTAGTGATTACTTCAAAACCTCAAATAATTTACTAAATTGGTTTTTAAGTTCTGTATTTTTAAAAAACTTTACCAAGTTAGTAAATAATTTTATACAACTATTGATAGTAATGCTAGAAATATTTTTAAAATTAAATTCATAAAAATTATGTTTTTGAAAATATAATTTATCAAAAATTGTTGTCACCAATTATTATAAATGGTCTATCAAGATATATTCAGGCAAAACTGTATTCAATTGAATAAGCATAAAATTATTTGATACATTAAATATGGTTTATCAAGTTCAACTTATTAAAATTTCCTAACTTGATAAGTTAAAGTAATTCAGTACTATAACTTATAATCTGAAACTTGCTACATTTCATATTAGAATTATATAATTAAATAAAATGAGATTGAATGGTTGTGTTACATTTAATTGCAGATGATTAGTAATGGGAAAAAGCAATTAGGAAAGCAGTTAATGACTAATAAATATAATCTTTAAATCAGAAAGATGGAACCAGTTAAGATCAATGGCATTATAAAGAAGGAATAGACAACTCATACTGTTAATAATAGATATGAAAGATTCATGGTTCCCTATTTTTGTTATTTGTCAACTTAAAATAGTAAATTTTATAACTTCAAAACTAACCCTTCCTCTTACATAAAACTAGAATGATGATAAAATTGACGTAACTACAATAATCATGTTAAATATCTGCTCCTATATTTGTTTAAAACCATAATTTACTTATTTGAAAAATTATGAAAATAATTAGCTCAGCCAATATTGATCAAATATTTTTACAATTTGATATAAACAAGCACTGTTATTGATACAAGTGATTCGAAGTAGAGAGTATATTGGATTATAGTGCAACATTTTTCTTTGCTTCAAGAAGTTTAACACAAACAATAATGATATTTCAAAAATTTAATTTTGTATTTACTAACTTAAAACAATTATAAAAATTGAAGAAGGCTTCTTTTTTTAAAGGAATATGAAAATGCCTTAGCATTCAGTCGACCCCCCTATGATTACGGTCCCTATAATTACGATTCCTATAAAACTACGAAAAAGTATACGTATTTTGGAAATGTTGAGTCGGATTAGTATAGAATCGATTAATTTTATGGAAGAAAACCTTTCAATCAGCCGTAGTCCGTAAACTTGACACGTGTCGGGCTGTGATTGGAACGACTTGTAAGAAATCGGATTCCTAATAAATTGGAACGTATCTATATCTTATAGGGGAGTCGACTGTATTAAACTAGTAATACAAGTCAAATACAAGTAAACCCCTTTGCTTCTGCTGTCTTCTCGCTTCACTCAGTTGTTCAAAAATTGTGAAGACTATCAATTTCTGGTGCAGTCATAACTATTTTGTTTTTCATATGGAGAAAGTGTTGACTATTTAAGCTAAATGTTTATATATATATACATACAAAACATACATACAAGAGTAATTAGTAGATTTGATGCATAAAAGTATTTATCCAGATGTGAATCCAAGTAGTAATGATGAGTTCTTATGAAATTATTTTTTTTATAGAAAACAAACTTTTAATATGTTAAAGTTTTGGAATTCACTTCCTGTATAAAATTATCACTACCTCAGCTTTCATATCGGCTTAAAGAAATGGAGCATAATGGTAATAAAGATTTCTGTTGTTGTTATAATTCTCTGTAGGACCCAGAATTAAATCTGGAGAATCTTAAAATGCCAGAATTTTTTTAGGAATGGTCTATCTTGGAATGTTACATAGAATAAAATTCAAAAACAAAATTTACAAAACAATTTAAAAAACAAAAAAACATTTCATAACCTGAAAAGATGACTTAAGAACAAATGTTTTCAACTGTTTTTATAATAAAATTTGTTCATTTTGACTAAATTATAGGTATTAGTTGGTGCTTTTATGATATTCTCATTCAGTTTTGCAGTAGTATTTCTATCATTTTATCAGTTTAGTAAGAAAAAATGACTCAAGTAATGATGTGTGTAACAGAGAACAGTGGTGCATTATCAGTGGCGGACTGCCCCGGGCAGCACTTTTTAGGGGGCGGCGAAATTTCACAATAAATAATAATAATATCTTGTAAAAATTTGAACCAATTCATTTCATATTTTCATTGCACCTATGATTCGACCGATTGAAATGAGCACGGAAAAGTGTTACCATCCGGACAGTCTGGGAAATGACTCACCATCTGCAACCTGTCAACCTTTTTTTTTCCAATACAGCTAAGTCATCTAGGTTACTTACGTTACTCCTACCCAAGTCTCCCTAGTCCCTAACTGTAACTGATTTAGAACCGGCATGCACTGTACATTATTCTTCGCATTGCAAAATGACATATGCATGCATCAGGAACTTCTGTTCGAACAAACTTCACCTGCTGTCCGGGTTAGCGATTTTAAAAAGGTGGCAACACTAACACAAAATTTTTCATTATTTATTCTGTGACGAAACTGAATTTTAGTCTTTTAAATTGAGATACCTAAATAAGGGGACAGCGAAATTTTCCTTTGCCCCGGGTGGCTGACACCCATGCTACACCACTGTGCATTATCCTATGGGCAAAAAGGGCAATTGCTTGGGGCCCAAACCAATCTTTTATCAGCTTTTAGTAGATCAGTTTTCCTCATCTAAAGGATGCATATCTACTCAGGTTTACAAAAAAACCTACACACCACCCAACATTCATCTTCCCACGATCCATCCATTTGTGGCCATCGGCCATAAAATTGTATAAAAATATGTATTAATTTTACTTAGTTTAATTTTTTATTTGTTCCTTTGTTTCTTACTTTTCCTAGAACTTTCCCTTCAACCTTTTTCCCTTGGGTGGTATTACCAATTCCAAGAAAATGAGAGTAGAACAAAGGGTGAAGTAGGACCGTAAGGCCGGAGAACAAAAGGAGAAGGGGAGTCTGGGTCAAGCGCTTGAGGAGAACGGACGAGATAAGGTAGGGCTCCGTATCATGTGTAGGACTACCGGAGACTACGAGACTTTGATAAAAAGAAGTTTGGGCTCGAATTCCAAAGAAAAAGAAGAGCAAAGAGAAGGTAGTGCTCCAGATAGAGTATAAAGCGATTGGAGGCTACGTGAAGCCAGAGAACTTGCAGGAAGGAATTCCTAAACGGAAAGGTAGAAGAGAGCCACAGAAAGAACCATACGAGAGGGCCACAGGAAGGACGAGAAGTAACGTCCCAAGTAAAGCTCCAGTGTAGTATCTCACCCAAGATCAAGAACACAAGAAAATCCCGGGTATTTCCATCTTCATCTTAAACTATTCTTATCTGTCTATTCCTTTTTTTTTTCTTCTTTAGTTATAAGTAGTATAAGGATTAGTTATAAGTTTCAGACCGTGCGTAATTGTCGCTCAATTAGATCGCTATTTTATTGATGAGATTGTAACGCCCGCGTGTACACAGAAAAACATTTTGTAATGTTGGGATCACAAAAGAAAAAGGAAAGAACAAACCTGTTCGAAGCGAAAATAAATAACTTTGTGCCAAAAAAATATTTAATGAGTATTTATTTTGTACTTTTCCGCTCATGGGACTTTGTACTTGTCGCAACGAACACCACACATTTTCAAGATGGCCTGGTTCAGGACCTCGGTTCAAAGGACCTTCATCCATTTGTTGAACACACATGATAGAGCTAGAGAGTTTCTTACGATCACCCAATATGCAACTCAGCATGGCTACTCCCCACATATTATTAAAGGCCTTATACATCGTCTTTCCTCCACCACTTCTGCCTCGCAGATAAATTGCTCCCAAGACAGGTTATAGAACTGTCACTTATGACAGAAAGCTAGAAACCCTTTACAAGAAAATATCCGGGTAAAAACTTTTGTTTAGCATTCTGAAGAAGTCCTTCAATTTCCTCCCTCTTCCACAACACTAAAGTATGGACATGCACTTTTAACCAGGCATCTACATTATCCCTGTCATCGATCATAGATCCAGCTGCCACTTAGAATACATAGTTGCTACAACATGCCCTTTAAACACCCACCTCAAGGAACATCAGACATCCATCAGAAAAGGATTAGCCAACACGGCATTGGCTATCTATGCCTCCATTCCTGCCATTATTAATGTGGATTCCACAAAGCAGACTTCTTGCATAATTCTTTCTTAAACATCTTGAGCAGGTAAAAATATATAAGGCCACCCGCAAAAAAAAAAAAAAATTGCTATTAATTTCCGCGATGCTGACTCCTTCCCCCAGTGTGGAAATCTTTCTTCAAACTATATATCTTACTATCCTCCCCCTCTCCATTTTCTCTCATCTAATGTCACCTCTCCTCTGCACATGTGTTCGGCAATCTCTCATTTGTTTCAGCATTTAATGATTAGTTTACCTGATGATGTCCATTCAACATGGATGAAATCATTTGTACTTGATATAAAAATTTGCTGGTTTATAGGTTTAGTGTTTTTCATAAGTAGTAATTTGAATATCATAATATTTCAATTAAATAAAACCAGTTTAGAGTAAACCAAACCATAAAACTTTTTCCAGCATAAAAAAACACTTAAAATGAACATTTTTGGCTGCTTTTAAAAGCCTGACTCAGGTTATAAACCAATCCAATTTGAACATTTCAATTCCAAAAAAGTAACTTTTCTTGGTTACTTCTTTGAGAGTTGCAAAGGTTACTTCTTTGGAACTTTCAGTTTAGACAAGGGGTCTCAAACTCAAATGCAGCAAAGGGCCAGTCAAATACATGCATATCAGACATGGGCTGTATCATTGACATACTATACATTATTATTTGGTATAAGATATACTATAATTAAAAAAAAAAGCCCTAAAAAAAAAAAAGCCTTCTTTTTGCAAGGCCTTTACAAGTTAAACAAATAGATATTTGAATTTTCTGTTTTAATCCCTGCAAAATGTTAGAAACATTAATTTTAGAAAAAAAATTGATCAGGGCTGTGGGCTGGATATGAAGCCTTAACAGGCTGTAT